CATGCTGATATCTAAACCACTGTGTCAATATTTTTTAGTTTTGCAGAGATTTGAAAATATTTGTTTTTTCTTCTTTTAGTTGGATGACAAAAGTGCGATTTGTTTAATAATGCGAATTAATTGAAACATAGCAGGACTAGTAAAAAGCAATTCACTATTTCTCTAATAGAAGGTTTTAGCATAAATATCTCACAAAGTTTTGCGATTGCTTGACGACACAGTATGCTATGATCGTCTTTTGTTTAAAGAAATCTACACCTGTCTGCAATGCACATGTACTCGTACAAAAGCATATATGCACATTAAGATAAAAAGTACCCGGAAATTGTAAATTAAACGCAAAATATTTACTTATTCATAAATATTTATTTTATCGCCTTCAGGATAATCCCTACCAAATGTCAATGATTTTTCCAGTTGTTGAAACACTTTTACTCAGCACTTTTTGGGATGGCCTTCACAACTTTCAGCGAATTTTGTATTACTTTTCGATCGATTGAAAACGGGCTCCACGCAGCGGCAATTTTAGTTTGGTGAACAAGACAACACCACAAGGAGCCAAATCTGGCGATGGTATTCATTGACTTTTAGCTTTAAATTCGGTTACAATCGTGGATCGCTTAAAATCAATGAATTGAAATTCTTCCACAATTCCGGGTCTTTTCGATGGATTTTTTAACGCAAACATCTTAGTACGGCTAAATAGAACTCCTTATTGGCCGTCTGTCCCCCCGTAACATTCATAAAGACATTCAGCATCATCTTGATTTTAGAGCGGCTTTGGCGTGATTTTTGGTTCCGGTTATTTCACACTACATCACTGAATTATATAGCTGCGCTTATAACCAAGAAGATGTGTACCTCAGCGTTGAGGAAAAGCCTTCACACTACTGTCGGAAGAGCTTTCGAATAACGCTGAGTATCTCTTGACACCAAACCAGCATATTTTATTTACTGCTCGTTAGATCGACTGGGAGATCGAAAGTTTCAGAGGCCTTATTTGATAATACCAACAGGGTTTTACGGGTAGGCTGCTGGCTGTCCTTGAACAGACAAATAGATAAATAATATTCAAAGTTGATATTATTTTAATATTCAACTACACGAACACAATATGGATTAATTTGTAATACAATATTTCGAAAAGTTACTTGGGTATGACATCATCCCTGTTGGAAAACCCGGTAGTACTATTGGAAATACATATTAATATTTTCAAAGTTTGTATCATGTTACCAATATTAGCACTGAAGTTGACGAATGCAGTGTACTTTCAAAAGCGGCTGCAGAAAATGTAAAAAAAGGTTCACAAAATTTTTTAAGGATGATTATAAATTTAAACCAACCAAAACTGCGGAAACTCTAAAAGTAAACATACCCAAATACACCGATGGTCTCAGTACTGTTTCCAAGAGTAATAATAAAAGCTATAAAAGTAGAAAAATTTTTAGTTTTTGTAATAAAAATATATATTATTATACCAATGGACACGTTATATCAATGTATAATTACAATATCATCAACCAATATACACCAATTGTAGTCAAAATACTAGTTATAATAACTCTCGATAATATCTAATGTCTATATTATGATATATTTTAAAATTAAAACTAACAAAGCTAAAATTTATAAACAATTTTAATTAACTACTCCAAGATTATAATTTTTCCTTTGAATTTTTTTAAGGTTATCTAATATTTTTATTTATGTTTAATGGTATGCATATGTTGTAACGTTGAATAAATTATAGACAGCTTTTGGATTTATAATGTAATGAGTCAAGCAAAACTATGTCACAAATCGCCAATTTATTGTAAATATTTATTTGTTTTAATACTATTTAAATCAAGTATGAATTATTATTTTATGTAGTAGTTGCTTTTACTATAGTGGTATTCACGTCTATATTAAGTAGTTACTTTTAGAGCCTTTGCTTCGTCGCCGTTAATTTTCGTACGCACTCGCCCATTTATTGTACAATTTAAGGAATTTAGACGTATCGTATGGCTGCGACAAAACTTTTCCCTCTTTTCATAGTTATTGTCTGTCAGTCCACATATTTCTCTGTTGATTTTAACAAAAACTTCTTTTATAAATGTGAAAATTATTAGTAATATTTATTTAAATCATCATACCTTTTTAAAATAAATTGCATATTTTGTCAAAATTATTTTCATAAAATCATGAACTTAATTTGTTATAATTTTCAAATTCTTTTTATTAAACAGCTGAATAAAAATATGTATAAAATGAATATGTATTATTTAGAATATACCCTTAATTTAAGTTCAAATTAAACATTAAATAACATGCTATGCATAAAATAATTTATAATAAATTATTATGTTAAAAAGACAATACAATTTGCTTTTATATTATTTATAGTCGAAGGGTGAGTAAAAAATGGTACCTCGCACAAAATTTTATTTCAATCAATCTGTCTGCATTTTTCACAATTTTTCTCAATTTCATTCATCCCCACTCAATTCCCGTTCGTTTGACACCAAAATCATCGAAATCGGTTAAGATTTGCCGAAATTATAAAAAAATTCACTTCTGGTCACTCTAGACCAAACAAAAAATAATTTTCACAAAATTTCTCAATTTCATTCATCCCCACTCAATTCCCTTTCGTTTGACACCGAAATCATCAAAATCGGTTAAGATTTACCAAAACTGCAAAAAAATGCCTTCTGGTCACTCTGCCACGTTTCCTCATTTTTCATCGATTTCGCAAACATCAAATTCCACCAGGCACCCAGAATCGCCCAGTAGGTAGCTGCTGCAAAAAATAAAAAAAATTTTGTAGCATACCCCAAAGGCGCTCACTCAACTTCCTTTAATACCGGATATTGCAATGCATTCGGTTAATTCGCTATATCCTTGGTAAAACTGAACCGATTTCGAAAACTTTTGCGGCAAACGAAAGGTGGAGGCTTTTAGCAAATAGTAATGCAATGCATTTACTTTCATATAATATACACACATGGCAATTCAGTAAGAAGTATTTGGTGATAAAAAGTGCCCTGGTACAGAATTTTGAAGGTATGAGATGTTGTGGTGTAGCAGATTTTGTTTATAGGGCGTATCACAATAGTGCACGAGTATGAAGAACCTTTCATCTTGTTTTACAATTGTAATATTAAGAGTTTTAACCTTAAAGTGGCATTGTCACCTTTCATTCAAGATATTTTTTTTATATGCGATTCGTTAACATTAAATGGTGTGTGATTCTATTGCCGCATGTCTGCCCTTTAATTTGATGCCCGAATGACCGTAATCGGTTATGAATTACAGAAGTTATTACTATAAACGTCGCAGCATCCTTTACATCCGGTTGTCCTGCAGCTGCCGGTAAGGCAGTTTACATTTGCGCCTTTTGGATAGGCTACAGAAATTTCATTTTTTTGCGGCAGCTACCTACTGGGCGATTCTGGGTRCCTGGTGGAATTTGATGTTTGCGAAATCGATGAAAAATGAGGAAACGTGGCAGAGTGACCAGAAGGCATTTTTTTGCAGTTTTGGTAAATCTTAACCGATTTTGATGATTTCGGTGTCAAACGAAAGGGAATTGAGTGGGGATGAATGCAATTGAGAAATTTTGTGAAAAATAATTATTGT